TTACAACAAGTCTGTTATTATTTATTGGTCAAAGTTAGGGACTGGGTGCACGTAGTTAGAGTAGGGATGCATAAATAGAGAGAGAATGGATAAAGTTAGGGTCTGGGTGCGGCAGTAGGGTAGGAAAACACGAAGTCATCAGTCAGTATCATTCATATATTTTCTGAGGGGAACCTTGAGAAATCCGTAATAATGCTACTGAAAATAGGGTTATCTGTCTGCCTCTCTGTCTGTAAAGGTTTGTCCGTAAGTCGGTCTGTCTGTCTGCCTGTCTATCTGTCGATCTGTCTTTCTGTCGGTCGATCTGTTGTGCTTATTAAGTTGTGCTCATTAGTTACTGTATGTATATTATGTATGCTGGATTATGTATTATGTATGTATATTATGTATGTGCTCCATTTATATTTATTCAGCCTAGCTAGCAGCGTATGGCAATGTTATTACCATATCCCACACGCTTAATTAATGTGCCTGGCGACGTATGGAAGCTGCTAATGTATCACTTGCCATACGTCGTCTATGGTAGTTGACCAGGACCTTAGCTAGGGAGCAGTGCTATCCACCTCTGTGTACATACTCTTATCCAGTAAACCGAACCTACAAAACTATACAGGTGTTTGTGTTCTCTCCTGTATATAGAACTTATTACCCAGAACATCTAACATGGCGCAGTGCGTAGTTTTACTGGATTATTACGAGTGATTAGTGCAAGTTTGTGGAAAGCCGGCTGATGGATCCCCGCCTTGGGTCAACCCCGCGTCATCCCTCGAAGAATTTCGCAACTTTGAGCAGTGTCAGTGACAGTGATTTTCTGTGAAGTGTTTAGTGCATTGTGTGTTTCGTGCCATTCATGTGTGACCTTGTTCGAACGGATTTCCAAGGTATACGGCATGTTCTGGGCATTTGTGGGGTGTAGAGCTCAGCGCACCCTCCTCTGACCGTTTACAGAGAGCGACTGAGCTACTCCTATCTCCACCCCCCTCCCTCACAGCGCCGCCTCCACCCCCCCTCACAGCTGGGGCGAGACGCTCTGCCTGCCTGGGACACACACACATACATGTACTAACACTTGCTGACCGCGCGGCTTCATTATATATATTTTATATATATAACCTACTTATCTGTGTATTGAATTAAATTTTTTTGTCTGAAATCTTTTTGATACGACGGGCTGACCGGTCAACACTGATTTAAGACACAGTACACAGATAAAGTAGTTATGTCTCATGCCTTACGTAGCCGTGGACCCAGCGCCTGGATGAGTCAAGCGGATGATAGTCCCCCAGAGATGGATGACCAGGCCGGCCCAGCTCCCACAACATCGCGCAGCCCTTCACCTCAACATTCAGCGTTATCTCCAGAGATAATTGCCTTAATGAAGTTTATGAGAGATGAGAGACGCGAGGATGAAGCTCACAGACGTTTGGCGGATGAGCACAGAAGGCAAGCAGAGGCAGAACGAGACCACCAACGGAGAATGGAAGACAGTGCACGGTTTGAAGCCTTGATATCTCGCCTCACTGTTAACCAAGCCCCTGGCTCTAACACTGCCTCGGTACTGAATGGTTCAGATACCTCATCCATGCTTCCTTCACGCCCCCCAGCCCCACCTAAAGCAGCAGCTCAAACGCCGCCCATCTTGGAGCCTGATGTAAATTTCCAGACTTTTCGCGAATGGCGGCGGCGGTGGGCTGATTATGCTACAATGGTGGATCTCCAGAGTTTGTCACAGCCTAAACAACTCATCCAGCTGCGTATGTGCCTGTCCTTGGAAGTTCAGCGTGTCTTAGAACATACGTTGCAGGTACCCCCAACCTCTTCGCTGTCTGTAGAGGAGGTACTGGACGTTCTACAACGGCACATCAAAGGACAGCAGAATGAAGCTCTGCGCAGGAGGGAATTGTTTAGCTGCAGACAGATGGAGGGTGAGTCTTTTGACGCTTTTTATGTACGTCTTAAGAGAGCCTCGGAAGAGGTAGATATATGTTTAGGCCACCACCAGCAGTGCGAGGAGACCCAGTTGAAGCAGGTGATCCTGATGGGTGTTAAGGACGAGGAACTTGTCCAACGCCTCACCTCCCTCGACTCTTCCTCTTCTCTTCAGGATGTGTTGACGATATGTCGCTCCTATGAGGCTGCCAGGTGTGCCACCTCTGCCATCCGAGCTCCCCCTACAGCTGTACGCGCTGTGTCCCGGTACAAGAAGGACAAGAAGTCTGCTCCTACGCCTTCGCCCACCACGTCCACGCCCGGTTCATTTTGTAACAACTGTGGTAAGCAGCACGGAACACAGGTGTGTCCAGCTGCTCAGTCTACCTGCAACAGTTGTGACCGTATGGGCCACTGGTCGCTCACAGTGCGGTGCCCAGCTAAGTACGTACAGTGCAATGTGTGCGGTCGTCTGGGCCACTATGACAAGTGTTGCCCTACCCACGAACCCAAGGGACAGCGTCGGCGGAAGCTTCGGCGCCCTTCTACCAGTGAGGGCCGCCCACAGTCGCCAAATCAGAGGCACGACGACCCTGGACAAAGCCCGACCCATTTTAGGAGGGTGTACTCCTCGCATCCCAGGACCAAAGTCCCCCAGTACATCAGCGTCATCGTGACCTACGGCGGTGTGTCATCCCGTCTTCAGATGTTGCCCGACACCGGCGCTGATGCTACAGTCATCGGTCCCCAGCATTTGCGATGCTTGGGGCTCTCTCCAAGCGATCTAGGACCGCCTCCCGAGGACCTCTGCGTCATGGCAGATGGTTCACAGATGGCCCCAGCCCTGGGTTCACTCTATGCACATGTCACCTTTGGCAACAGGTCGTGTCAGGCCTGGATTGACGTGCATAATGGTGTCCCGACTCCCTTGCTGTCCTACAGACATTGTCAAGAGTTGGCCATCATCTCCCAGGACTTCCCAACACCGATTCTCGAGGTAAATTACGCCAACAGGGTGCACGAAGGGAGCAGCAACTACCCTGCTGCCGCCCTACCCCTACCTCTGGCCAGTGACACCTCTCCTTCGGTAGTTGTCCCTGCTGCATCACGTCCCCACGCCTTGGCTCGCCTTCACGACAGTCACCGTGGAGCTGAGGCCACCAAACGACGTGCACGACAGACTGTGTTCCGGCCTGGCATCGACCCCGACATCTCCAATGCTGTCCAGGTGTGTAAGCCCCGCCACGTATTACAACCCAGCCAGCAGCAGGTACCCTTCATGAGTGACGACAACCCCACCCGCCCCTTTGAGTCTGTGTCGGCCGACTTTTTCTGTGTGTCAGGAAAGTCCTTCCTGGTTATCGTCGACCGTCTCTCTGGTTGGCCGGTTGTCATCAAGGGCGGTAATGACACGACGTCTGCCGCCACCATCAGCAAGTTCCGCCACTACTTCCGTGACGTGGGCGTTCCTGTACGCCTGCGAACCGACGGAGGGCCTCAGTTCACAAGCCGGGACTTTGCTGTGTTCCTTGACCGATGGGGAGTCCGGCATGTGTTGTCATCGCCCCATTACCCGCAGTCCAACGGCCACGCTGAGGCTGCTGTCAAATCCCTGAAGCACCTCATCCTTAAGGTGGCCCCTTCTGGGAACATTGACTGCGAGGCCTTCGACCGGGGTCTTCTTGAACTCCGCAACACACCTAACTACACCGGACGCTCCCCTGCCCAGGTTTTGTATGGACGCCCCCTTCGTTCTTGTGTCCCTGCTCACCCTCAATCCTTCTCCAAGGAGTGGCAGGCCAAGACAGAGGATTGTGATCGCCGAGCCGCCGAACGTGTTCAGGACGTCGTCGCCCGCTACAACGACCACGCCAGTTCTCTCCCCAGGTTGAGTGTCGGCACCCAAGTCCGTGTTCAGGACCCGACCTCCCTACGTTGGGACAAAGTAGGCGTAGTCATGGGTCTCGGCAGGTCACGGGACTACCAGGTGCGGTTACCCAGTGGTCGTGTGTGGTGGAGGAACCGCCGTTTTCTCCGCCCCGTAACAATGCCTTCTGCTGGCCCCGCCACCAGTGTTGAGTCCCACACCCTTCCCAGTGATGAAGTCCCTCGACGCTCAGAACGGACCCAGAAGAAGAGGTCCGCTCAAGACTTTGCTATGAGCGTATAGGGGGGAGGGAGGTGTATGTATATTATGTATGCTGGATTATGTATTATGTATGTATATTATGTATGTGCTCCATTTATATTTATTCAGCCTAGCTAGCAGCGTGTGGCAATGTTATTACCATATCCCACACGCTTAATTAATGTGCCTGGCGACGTATGGAAGCTGCTAATGTATCACTTGCCATACGTCGTCTATGGTAGTTGACCAGGACCTTAGCTAGGGAGCAGTGCTATCCACCTCTGTGTACATACTCTTATCCAGTAAACCGAACCTACAAAACTATACAGGTGTTTGTGTTCTCTCCTGTATATAGAACTTATTACCCAGAACATCTAACAGTTACTGCTTTCCATATAATTTACATAACATTTTTTTGAGATAGCTGGAACTTTACCAAAACTTGGATTTGCCCCAACACAAAAGCCTTGTCTTGAAGCATCCTACAAGGTTGCTTATCACATTGCCAAGCAAAAGAAGCCACATACGATTGGAGAGACCTTGGTAAAGCCATGTGCCCTGGAAATGGTCGAGCTGGTTTGTGGCTTGGAGCAGAGAAAGAAAATTGCAGCAGTGCCTTTGTCAAATGACGTCATCCACTCTAGAATTGTTGACATTTCTTCTAATATTATGAAGCAAGTAATGGAAGAATTGACAGCTACGCCATTTCCGTTCAGCATGTAACAGGATGAAACTACTGACGTCTCTCAGTGCAGCCAGCTCCTGGTTTTCGTCCGTTATATGCATGCTGATGCCATCAAAGAAGAATTCCTATTTTGTGAGCCCCTTTTGGAAACTACAAAGGCCATCGACATCTTAGAAATGGTGAATAGTTTCTTTGCCAAGCAAAACTTCGACTGGGAAGAAAAATCTTTCTACTCTGTGCACAGACGGAGCACCTGCGATGCTTGGCAACACATCTGGTTTTGCTGCTTTGGTGAAGAAAGAAGCTCCTCAGGTCATCGTGACCCATTGTTTTCTACATCGGCATGCATTGGCGTCAAAGACTCTGCCAGCAATTCTGAAAGAAGTCTTGTCTACTGGCGTGAAAGTCGTCAACTTCATCAGAGCCAGGGCTGTGGACCATCGCGTTTTCAAGAGGTTTTGTCAAGAAATGGGAGCAGAATATGAAGTTCTTCTCTACCACACAGAAGTTCGCTGGCTTTCCAGAGGACAAATCTTGAAGCTCTTGATTGAACTTCGAGCAGAAGTTTCACTTTTTTTGAGAGAAAAAGAAAACCCACTCTCAGAACAGTTTGACAGTGAGGAGTTCATTCATGGCTTGGCCTACTTGGCGGATAAATTTTGGCCATATGAATGAGGTGAATCTTGCGATTCAAGGCCCTGGAGTCACCATTATGGATGCTGCTGAAAGACTGCAAGCTTTTCTGGTCAAGCTGCCACTGTGGAAGAGGAGGTTGGAGGCAGACAACTATGCAAACTTTCCAAAGTTAGAGGAAGTGCTTCTGCAGGATGGAACCGAGAGTGACAAGGCCCTGTCAATTTCTCTGCAGGCAGAATTCTGCAAACATCTGGATACTCTGCAGAACTCTTTCAAAGGATACTTCTGCTCAGGTGACCTTAAAGTTGAAACATGGATTCGTAATCCTTTCCTTGCCGACATAGACTGTATCAGTGATGAAGACCTTGCCAAAGATGACCTCATTGACTCGAAGAGCCTTGGAGAATTCTGGTGTGCGTTGACACAAGCCTACCCTCGTTTGGTAAAACGAGCTATGGGTGCTCTGATTCCGTTTGCTACTACATACCTATGCGAGTCAGGGTTTTCAGCACTTGTTTCTATCAAAACGAAAAGTCGAAATCGATTGGATGTCAAAGATGAGATGCGTGTTACCTTGTCAAAGACCACTCTACAGTTTCATCTTCTTATTCAAGCCAAACAACAACAACCTTCTCATTGAAATGAACTTTTGAGCAGAATTAAAGTTTTGTTTTGTTTAATTTGCACAAGATGATTGTATTTCATTTTTGTATGGAGTGGCCATTAATTTTTGCATAAAAAAGTGTGAAACATAATTGTTAAGATTGTTTACTTTATTCATACTTTGTGTGTGTCATACACTGTATGAGGCAATGAATTTTCAATAAAATAAAGTATATTCATTGCATGCAAAGTTGTGTTTATGTGCTTATGTGCATTTTTCTAGGGAGGGGGTCCATAGCTTTCACCAGATTCTCAAAGGGGTCCGTGACTCAAAAAAGGTTAAGAACCACTGCATTAGAGGAAGCGGGAAAGAATCGGGGACAGTTACTCTATTGACTTTACGGTAATCTGTACATAGTCTGCTACGTCCATCAAGTTTAGGGGTTAACAAGCAAGGTGAAGCCCAAGATGAGACAGTGTTTTCGGCCAGATTATGTTCTAATAAAAAATCTACCTCTTTTTTTTCATTATTTCTCTTTTTATAGGATTAAGGCGATAAGCAGATTGTTTTATGGGTTGAACATCTGGGGAAATGAGGGTGATGTCATGCTGGAGAAAACTGCAAAACCCGGGGAGGCCATCAGTGACTCTGGGGTATGAGAGTAACAAATGTTTTAAGTCGTCCATGTGTGTTTGTGGTAACGTGTCAAAGTGAGAGTCAAGATAACCGAGGATGTCGCTGTTTTTAGGGTTTCCATTAAGGAGACGAAGAATTGGGCTCTTCATCCAAGTCAAATACTTTAGAAAAAGGAGTGATTGTCTCTGACTCTTGGACCAAGCTAGTATTACACATGGCACTAGGAATTACATTTTGTTCCTCTGTGGAGTCTTCCTCTGGCTTCTTGTCAACATAAGCTTTCATGAGATTGATATGGACCAGTTGTGAATTTTTCTTCCGGTTAGGAGTATTGACGACATAATTTAGAGAATTGAGTCTCTGGAAAACAATATAGGGATCTATGTATTTACTCTTTAGTGGATTACCAAGAATGGGCAGAAATAGTAGGACTTTATAACCAAGATAGAATGAACGTTCTTTGGATTTACTATGCTGTATTTTTGTCATTTTATCTTGGGATCTTATTAAATCCTTTTTAGTAATTTTCTCACTTGAAACAATTTGGTTCTTAGATTGTTAATGTACTGTGCTACAGAAGGAGAGGGTGGGGAAGGATTGTTCAACCATTGATCTTTTAACACTTTTAAAGGGCCTCTCATTTGACGGCCGTAGAGTAATTCAAACGGGGAGTATCCGAGAGACTCTTGGGACACTCGTAGAGAGGTTGGACCAGATGGCGAGTAACGTTGGTGCCTTGATCAGATTGAATTTCTTTGTGTATCCCAACAGATGTAAACAGATTTAGTAAACACTAAGTGATATTTTTTATGTAATGTTTCTCAAGGGATAAGCTTCATGATACCCAGTAGAGGTACACAATATAGTGAGTAAATATTGATTGCCCTTTTTGGTTTTAGGCATGAGGCCAAAACAGTCTATGACTATTTTTTTCAAGAGGTGCTGTCACTACAGATTGGTTTAAGAGGGGCTGGTGGAATTTTTCATTAGGTTTACCGACCATTTGACAAACATGGCATAATTTAACAAAATCAGTAACATCTCTTTTAAGTCCATGCCAGTAAAAGTATGAGAGTAACTTCTTATATTTTAAGGATTCCTAGATGTCCGGATAATCAATCATGAGCCAGTTCGATCAGGGTTTGACAAACAGATTGGGTATAACAACTTGATGGACCTCAGCCCATGAATCCAATTGTTTTGATTCTGGAGACCTGTACGCCCGCATCAAGATACCTTCATGAACATAGAAACAAGGGGTTTTATTTATAGCTTTGTCCTCCTGAGCAATGTGTCTGAATTTAGCTAGGGAAGGATCTGTAGTTTGGGCTTCTATTAAATTATCTTTAGAGATGGCTTTAGAGTAAAGTTTTTCAAAATAGCTGGCAGGGTTGATGGTGAGGTAGTAGCCTTTTGGGACCTAGTTACAGCACAAACAGTATGAATGACAAGACGAGATATCCTCTATTAGAATCTTCTCCCCAGTACAGTCAGTGTGTATGTCAGGTAGGGCGCTATCTATCTGAATGCTTTGGGCAGCTGCTGTGTCCCTTAGGATAGTGATGGGATAGGTTTTAGTATATTTTTTTCTATGATGAAATGGTACCTTGGAACTTGTAGTCCTTGAAGAGATCTTGCTAGGGGTTATAGATGTTAACAATAGCAACAGGCTTTATAAATTTATTGTCTGGCCTAAATTTTGAAGTGGTGTTTGCACGGGTCAATAGTGCAGGCAGCTGGTGGCTCACGAGTCACTGGTGCAGGCATCTGGTAGCTCACGGGTCACTGGTGTAGGGAGCTGGTGGCTCACGGGTCACTGGTGCAGGCAGCTGGTGGCTCACGGGTCACTGGTGCAGGCATCTGGTAGCTCATGGGTCACTGGTGTAGGCAGCTGGTGGCTCACGGGTCACTGGTGCAGGCAGCTGGTGGCTCGTGGGTCACTAGTGCAAATAGCTTGTGGCTCACGGGTCATTGGTGTAGGCAGCATGTGAATCGCTGGTCACTGGTGCAGGCAGCTGGTGTCTCACGGGTCAAGGGTGCAGGCAAATGGTGGCTCACGGGTCACTGGTGCAGGCATCTGGTGGCTCACTGGTCACTGGTGCAGGCAGCTGGTGGCTCACGGGTCACTGATGCAGGAAACTGGTGACTCGCGGATCACTGGTGCAGGCAGCTGATGACTCGCGGGTCACTGTTGCAGACAGCTGGTGATTCACATGTCACTGGTGCAGGCAACTAGTGACTCGCGGGTCACTGTTGCAGACTGCTGGTGGCTCACGGGTCACTGGTGCAGGCAACTGGCGACTCGCGGGTCTCTGTTGCAGACTGTTGGGGGCTCGCAGGTCACTGGCGCAGGCAACTGGCGACTAACAAGTTTCTGTCATTTCAATTCGCCAGGATCCCAACTCCTTCAAAACTTAAAGCCCCCTTTTTGGGGACCCACGGACAACGAGTTTCTGGTCCTGCTAGGACATATTTGTCCCGTGGTTCTAATTCCCTATAATCGGTGTTCTTGGTGGCGCCTGCATAGTCAGCCACACCACTGTGGTTTGTTATAATGAGGTGTTGGTACATGTCAACCAAGGTAGCGGCGCATGTGCGTGTGTGTGTGTGTGTGTGTGTGTGTGTGTGTGTGTGTGTGTGTGTGTGTGTGTGTGTGTGTGTATGTGTGTGTGTGTGTGTGTATGTGTGTGTGCGTGTGTGTGTGTAAAATGTATTTAGTTGGCAGTACTATGAAGAGGACAAGACTTGTACTACACAACGACTTGACGAGGAGAGCTGGCAAGATGAGCGTGGAAGACGGAGGTGAAGGGCGGAGGGAGAAGAGGTTGATTACGAGAGACAAAATGAAAAGAAGATTGGTAAAAGCAAAAGAGGAAGGGCAGGATCGCTGCCAGTAACAGAAGAGTAACCCAGATGGAGGTGAATGGAATATTGTGACGTAAACCACACAATGGAAGACAAACAAATAATGAGAAGAATTTCTTAATGATGTATTAGCCCCTGTATCATGGCAATAACAATTATATAAATTTGGGTTCATACATTTACTTTCTATAATCCAATCACCCTACTGTAATTTTTCATAAGCTATGAGGTGCCATGTGCTGTTCACGTGAGGGGAAATTCCTCTATCAGTAAGTCGACCTTAAGAATGTAGGGTTAGCCCGGCCTCTCCTTCAGAGCGTCCCCTCACAGGCACTAGTCTTGACTTGAGTCTCAAGCTGAGCCCCCTTCCTTAACTAACACTCACAGCTTACAGGGTTAATTACGGTGAATATACAACTAGACTGCTACCAATATAGGTTTACAAATATATGGAGAAAAGATCATTTTGGGTTTGTAACTTAACCCCTCAACTTATTTATATACTGCATAGTGCATAAGCCAAGTTAAGGGAACTCTTCCCAAAGGTTTTATATATATATATATATAAGTGGCAGCGAAAAGATAGATCCATTAACTGAACCACTGAAACACTGTAACTAACTGTACAAGTAACCGACGTCACTGTAACCCAAGTAACAGTGAAATTTTCTAAGTGTCATTCTCCAAGGCAACAGAATATATGCCGTATATATTCTCGTGAGCAACGTAATATGTCAAGTGATATATTTAGATGTCATCCCAGATCGACATACAAAAAAGTATTTTCTCAATAACATTTAATAAGTGAGTTAACAATAATTCACTGTAGTGTGGCAACACCTCATACCGACGAAAAGGCCTACGACTGAGTCCCCATCTCAAATGGACGTGACCCAGTACATTCCATTAGCCTACCGTAAAGAGTGCACATCAC